TTTTTTGCTTTTGCTTTTGTGAGGTGTAAATTATGGGGTTTTTGTTTTAGTGTCGGATGGATGGGGGGTTGGATTGCGGGGTTTGGGTTTTCTTGCTTGGTTCTGCCGAGGGACGGGAGGGATACTTACTACGTATTACTACTAGTTGTGTCGGGAACAGAAAAGAGAGTATTTGGTAGGTGTTGTATCGGGACTTCTGTGTATCTTACTTATTTGGTATGTTCATCTCAACGTTAGTTGATTCTAGATGCATCCGTAGAAATTATGCGGCGTGATTATGCCCCTGGATAACAGCCTACACAGTAGTAATAACTCCATCAATATCTAGATGGCTGGATTCGCCGTGCAGTAAGGGGCATTTTCAAAACAAAAGAGCAAAAGCGCATAGACCTAGTCTAGAGCTAGCACAGCCTGATTCTATTCTTTCGATCAGTAATTTGAACGTTGACCTCGGTATCAGCGCTAGGCTCCATTTCCAGCTAGCTGGCTCTGTCTCCAGTAAGCTCTTCCTGCACGTAACCGGACCGGTCGCACAGCTGGGCAACCCCAGTGCTTCATTTGCTGGCAGCTGCAAGTCGCTTGACCAAACAAAACGTTGTAGATCTTTTGCTCGGACTGACACCACCGGGCCGGTGTGTGAGTACACGTACTTCTGGACGGAGGCATAGATTGTTCGTGCCAGTAGTAAAGATTCTCCGCTTCTTTACAGGTGCTGATATGCATGATCTTGGGTAATACTTGGTACTCTTCTCTCGAGTCTCTTCAGCTGACTATGAAGATGTGCTGCGGTTTTTGCTTTTCCTAGCCTTGCGATGGGTATGTTGATCATAAATCCTTCCCACTCTGAACAGCTCACAACTCTGAGAAGGGGGATTCCGCAGTATAACACAGCCTGTTATGAAACTACCATGGCAGGGCTGCATGTCGGAGCATTCGCAGCAACCAGAGCGATAGCTCAAACGGAGCGGCGGCCCAGGCGTCAGGCTACCACATGTAGCTTCGAAGCACAGTAGCACCACATTTCACATGGCCACATGGCTCACACGGCTGTACTTTGCCCGAAGCTATCCCCAATATTGCCATCGGTGTCTGACATGTCATGTGAAAGAAGTGAGCCATAAATTGATTCTCTCTATCTGTGTGGAATGGATGGCACCACCCACTCAAGAGGCAAAATCAACGAACAAAAGAAAAAAAAGAAGCTCCGCAAGAGGCAAATTAACAAACCCGTTGGCGTTAAAGGATGACCTGACTACGAACCACGGATGGGGCTTATACGAGCCGGCGATATCCGACCTTGCCACTAATTAGTAGAATCTGGAATCATGATTGAAGGGCTCCGTAGGGGAATACTAGACTAAGCAGCAACTCGGACATCCTGATTCAACGTTCCTCGAGGGAGGAGGGCGTGGGCTTAGCCTTGCAGGACTCGTCGGGCTATCGCGCCGAAAGAAACTCCAACTGGCTTCTATCGGTCTTCCATGGGTTCAGTCCCTCCTCCCCCTGCTACCCTAGCAGCGACGCGACGGGACGAACGAGCGGGTGGTAATTGTGTAGTGCAAAAGCTTAGAGGCCCGATCGATCAGGAGAACCGAAGCCAAATGACAGGACGACGTTCCAGAATTCAGCCAGGTTTGGAATAAGCAAGGGGTGGTAGCCAGTCATATTTTCTAACCGAACGTTCCTTCGGGATCCTTGAGGAACAGGAATACAAAAGTATCACGATGTGGAAAATGGAAAGAGAAGTTGGTAAAGGGTGGCAAGAGGTGGCACAACTAGTAGTTACTGTAGTTACCTTTGCTTCGTTGAGGTGTGCGAGATGAACTCCTGAGTACTTACTGCACTTACTGTCAGTGGCTCTCTGTAAGTATATTTCGTTACCCTGTTCTTAATTTGCGCCATCATGACACAGGCATCAGGAGTGATGTACCTGAGCGCGGCTGTATAACATAGTGACCCTAAATGGATATTGCACTTGTTGATCACGTAGGGAGTAGCGACGGACAACGACGGAGGAGACTACTACTAGGGAGGCTATTGGGGGAGTGGATAATGTCTTGATAGGCAGAAAATGAACTCATCGAACCGACCGCAACGAGGGCTTATCAACATCCCTGCATGCGCGGCCTGATTGGTCCCAACCCCGGCCGCGTAAATTCTGTGGGTTGCGGAGATGATTTAGTTTTAGCCTGCGCCTGCCAGCCCGTTGATTGCGTTTCCTTCTAGTAACTTTGGAGGGCTCTCTTAATTCTCGCAGGGCCCCTTTTTGTACTAGAAGCAGGAGAGGGGGGTTGGAGTATTTCCTACGAGGTCTAAATCACCTTAGTTAAAGCATATGTTGCAGGAGAGTTGTTCGTAGTAGTGTAGATAATTTCCCCTGTAGGTTACGCGTTAGCTTAGATAGTACTAGTAAGGACCAACTTGTCATAATTCGGGCAGAGGCGGGACACGTGGATTATGATAGGCGGCAGCGGACGGATTCCTACTGTGGGATAATACGAGATGCTAAGAGGATAGACTACTACCTTCCATGCAGTGTACATGGATGCCAAGCACAAATCTGATACTCAGGAGTAGAGTAGTGCAATCAGATTGAAATAGAAAGCGAAAAGAAGCAAAGATTGACTACGAATTATTATGTACGTGGTTTTGGCCCCCGATGAGACACTACTAGGGGGGTGGGAAGGTGCCATGATAATAAGATAAGTAAGGAAGCGAAACGGTTAGCTGGGGGAGAAGCAGAGATAAGGTGAGGTACAAAGTGACACTACTATGACCACCGGAGATAAGGGTGGATTTGTTTGGGGCGGGTCTCCACCCCAGAACGGAACCCTGGGGTCCATGGACCGCAGGAAGCCAAGATAGCCCGATAGATAGCAGATAGCAGTCCTACTGGGTATCACCACATCCCTGAAACTCAGCTCATACACAGGATTAGTATGATTGTGAACCATGAACCATGATGGCAGGAAATAATGCCCATCTCCTGCTTTGTCGCTTTGGAATCACACGATTAACCTACTGGGTAGTAGACAGTGGTATTGGTTCGGAAATAAACGAGCTTAGTGGCGTGGAAACCTTAAATCATGAAAATGCTACCTTCTGCCGTCACTGATGATGAGGTGATTTTCAATTCCATTATTATTTCCCCGGGTCAGGCTGAATTTCCTCGTCAGTGTCTGCTGTATGACTGCATTGTGCGCCATCAGTCAATTTGGAGTAGATGATGAAAGCACTGCTTCATCATTTTTCATCACTTTTTGCCCTTGTACAACTGAATGCTAAAAATCTCCTGGACAGAATAGCAGTAGTTATTTTTTTTCTTTTGATAAAACCCAAGTGGATCCAGAATGGGTTACAACGTGCCCATCGTAAGACGCAGTGCCGGGAGCCTAAAGCAGAGAGGAGAGGAGAGGGTGGCTTGGTCGTGCTTATCAGTGGCAGTAGTGAATCCCCCGATAACCAGTTATCTTGGGAGGCGTTTAGTTGGTGTAGGGTGTAATAATCATCCCTAAAGCAAAGAGTAACAGTTAATAATACCTTGCAGAACCACCAATCAGATCTAGTGAGAATCTTATTTTGCTCTTAATCAATTAATGAGGTGGTACTCGAGGGATCCCCCGGGGCCATGGTCAACTTGGACGCTTTCACCGATTGGTTCCCCCTCTATTTGTCGCGCACC